AGGATGGACGTCTCCCTTCTCTGCCTGGCCAAGGGCTGCTGACCTGTTTGTTCTGGAGTCTGAGCCCAGTTGGACAGGGGTCAACCTGGTACAGGAAAGGACGGGCAGAGAGGAGCAGGGCAAAGGCCCCATCCGGGCAGGCAGGAGCCCAGGGCAGAGTTGCAGTTAGGAAACTGAGGCAGAAGCTGGGTCAAGCAGAGGGAGGTGGCTCTGCCACCAGGGCTCACCCGGCCCATTGGGCAAAGGACAGTAAATTCATTCCAGCCTCCGCCCCATCTGGGGAGGCCCAGGGCGTGGTGGGTGTCAGAGCTAGCAGTGACGGGGGCCAGGAAGGTACGCCAGACTGACCTTCACCCACTGAGACCCCTGTCAAGGCTCCTGCTTGGACTCACTGCAGGACCGCAATGCTTCCCACCTGGCACTTGTGGGCCCCTGGCCCTTGAAGCCCGTCCGTCTCCCTGACCTGCTCTGACGCATGTACAACACGTCCCCGCTCCCCTCCACAGTGTGCTCCCGCTTACAACGGCTTCCCTGGACACCTGTCCCCACAGGACCCTCGGGGCCTCACCCGCCTCCGCAGCCTTCCTGCCCAGGCCACTCCCCTCCCTCAGGCTCATTTGCCCTTCCTGCTTCCCCACCTGTGGAACTTTGGCTTGATGGAGAACCACAGATGGAAGGCTCACGAGTCCTGCCTGCTGGAACCCAGCACATTCTTCGTGGGTCAGAGTAATGCCTCCCTGCAAAGCTCGTCTGGACCCCTGTGCCTCCTCCTAGGCCGTGATGTGCCTCTTCCCCTCTTCAGACTCACCAGCTCACTTTCCTCAGGCCCACAGCACAGGGCGGGGGGCAGCACTGCCCCTCGTCGTATTGGCCGGTGTCTAACACACAGCAGACACCCAGTGAGACTGGCCTTGACTTGAAGGGATTAGCTGGGGACCAGCTTTGGTCCTGGGCAGGCCTGTGGCACCACCTCTTCTGAGAACATCTTTTTCCCAGGAGGAGGGTGCCAAGGTGCTGTCAGGGAAGGGGTGATTCTGGGCGCTCACTGCCCACCCCTGCACACACAGGGCCTATGATGGGGCTCACACCTTAGGAGGGACCCACAGGCTTTCCAGGCCCAGATGTATATACATCTACTAGTCCTGTTTCTCTGGAGAGCCCGACATACCTCCGCAGGGGGCTCCTTCCTCACCTGCCCCTGCCAGCGTGGGTTGAGACATGTGCCCCCTGCTACGCTGGGAGATGTGGAGGGTGCAGAGGCCGGCGCCCCTCCCAGAGCAGGGCCCGCCAAGCCCAGCCTTCGGTGCCGGCCTCTGGCCACAACCCTCATGATGGGGGCCCAAAGCAGTACACTCTTCCCCAGAAGCTCCCTCCACCACTGCTGACTGGGAGACCCAGCCCCCCCACCCCCCGCCCGAACCAGAAGGCCGTGCAAAAATAGGGCTCCAGGACCTGCGGGCTTCTGATGGCCTCTAAGACTACACCCAACAAGGACCCTCTAGGGCAGCTGGGGCTTTCCCTCCACACGTGGTGACAGAGGTAGAATCAAGGCACTGACTTGGAAACCAATGTATTTAACCTAAAAGGTCAAGAGAGAAGTGACAGGCTTGTAAGTTGGGTCAGGAATGGGAGACAGGGGCCTTAAAGGTCGGGACTATCGAAGAGCCCTTTTCTCAAATGCCAAACGGAGATAAGGGGCAGTGGTCCTGCTCCCTGGACTGAAACCCTCTGGTCCTTCTCACACGGAGGACGAGGCATCCCCCCAAGTGGAGGTCGGGGAAGGGACAGGAGTGGGATGAAGTTCTCTCCTTGGCTGGGCCTTCACGGGAGTCGGGGGTGCGGGATGGGGGAGGGGGACTTGACCTTTGTACTCAGCAAGGGGCCAGGCCCCAAGCCAGCTGACCATGGGGAGTTAGCTCAGGCCTCCTGAGCTCCAGAGGAAGTGATCCTGACCCGGTGTGGGGGCAAAGGAAAGGTAGGCTGAGGTTGGAGAATCCAGCTCTGTTCTGGGGAGGAAGCCCTCAGTGACTGGAGATTCCCACTGGGAAGTGATGTGCCCCATCCTGGGTTACAACCCCAGCTGACCCCCGAGCTGACCAGAGTCGTGGGTGGCAGGCCCCTGCGGTGACACACTGAGGCCTGGGGCTAAGAACACACAGCCTCAGGGTTCCAGGCCCAGGAGGGAAGAGGAGGGGAGAGCAGCGCGGGCTTGTCCGGCACCTCAGTTCCTCTTGCCTGCCGGGGCCAGGCTGTGGGGCGGCAGCTTGGAGTGGCCGGAAGGGGCCAGCGAGGACCCTGGAGCAGACTCCAGCTTCACCTTGTCCAAGATGGTCTTCTTGATGGAGGCCGGCGAGACCTTCTCCTGGTCAGCCATGGACTGCAGCTCCCTGAGGAGACAGTGGGGAGGGTTAGGTCCGAGGCTCTGTCTCCCTCCTGAGCCCAACCGTCCCCCGGGGAAGACGAGCACCTGCCTCCCCGGCTCTGCTGGACAGTCACACCCACCTCGCGGCCTTCGCACCCACGGTTCCCTCCACCAGCCACCCCTCCGCCAGATGGCCATCTGCCTCCCTCACCCCTCCTTCAGATCAGCTCAGGGTCACCGGATCCACTAATAGCACCCAGACCCCAGCCCATCGTGCCCCAAGTGTGGGACGTGTGCCTCATCTGTATCCCCTGAAGGCTGGGGCGGGGGGGGCTGCATCCCAGCTCTGCCGTCGTGTTGTGGCGCCTGGAGAAGTTCTGGGTTTCGGCCGTGGCCGGCAGGGATGTGAGAGGGATGCCTGTCCATCCGGCAGATCCAGACTAGGGACAATGGCTCCAAGCCAAGATACTAACCCTGCCGCCCTCCTCTCTGATTTCCTTCCTGGTCTCACCGAGCCGGTGCCAGCGCACAGAGGCACATCCTGGGCCCGTCCTGCCGTCTAACTTGCTTAATCTCCCCAGGAGGAGGAGCTCGGGAGGAAGGTGTTGTCAGACCCCCAGGGATCCCCTCCGGTTCCCCCAGGCCTGCCTCCCCGGCTTGGACGCGATCCCCCCCGCCCCCCGGTCTGAGGGCCGCAGTGGGGAGACTGTGGGGAGCAGAGTGCAGGCGCCGAGGGCAGCCCGTCCTCACAGGACAACGGATGGTGAGGGGCACCGCCGCCAGGCCTCGATAAGCATCCGCTGAGCGATGGCTGAGCACAGCGTGCGGGGGCTCCTGTGCCGGGGCACGCAGCCCCGAGTAGGCGGCGGCGGCGGGGGGCCCACCGTGTACGGGTGCAGGAGGCCTCCACGGCATTGATGAGGAGCGAACGGAAACCCCCGCTCTCCAGCACGTGCAGGGCATGGATGGTGGCCCCACCGGGAGAGCAGACGTTGTCCTTGAGCTGGCCAGGGTGCTTTTCCGAGTCCAGGAGCATCTTGGAGGCTCCCTGCAGCCAGAGAGAGAGCTGGCTGCCGCGGGGGGCACCCCTGCCCCCGGCCCCCCTGCACGTCCACTCTCCACCCACCCGCCTGGGGGCGACAGAATAGGGCCTGGCAAGGAGTGGCCCCCACAAAGCGTCAAGGAAAACACTGACCAGCAGAGCCTGGGCCCCGAGGCGGATGGCCAGGCGCCGCGGAAGCCCCATCTTCACGCCGCCGTCGGCCAGGGCCTCCAGGGCTGTGAACGCCTGCAGGGAGAAGGCGCCTGAACCTCCGCCCTAGGCCTTTCCTCCTTCTCCTCCAGGCGACAGTGGGTCCAGCAGCTCTGCCCACGGCAACCGAGCAGGGAGGAGTAGGGAGGATGTGCCCTGAGGTCCCCGCACTGCCCACCGCCACCAGTTGCCACCCATCCCCATGCCTCACATAGGCTGGGCCGCTGCCACTGAGCCCCGTGACAGCATCGATTAGGTCCTCCTCCACCTCGGTGCAGAAGCCCACACTACTCATGAGCTGCTCCAGGAGCCTGCCGTCTTCCACCTGGGCGTGGGTGCCCGTGGCGTACACGGTGGCCCCCTCCCGCACCACGACAGGTGTATTGGTCATGCAGCGGATGACTTTAGGGGCTGGCCGGAACGCCGTCAGCTTCTGGAGGAGAAACCGGCTGTGGGTCCATCCCACCCAGCAGGGTGTGCTGGGCACGCGTGTGAACGCGCTCACGCAAGTAGCGTGTCCCCACTCTCCCCGGGGGCCGGGCCAGTGCGCCCGTTTCACAGCCAGAGCTCCTGACCACCGGGAAGCATCCGCCTCCACCCGCTCTGCAGATCCCACCGGCCTGGACCCACAGGCCCACCTTCTCAATGGAGCTGATGGTGACACCAGCCGCGCACGACACCACGATGTGCCGATCTTCAACGTCGGCGCCAATCTCGTCCAGGATGAAGGGGATGATGTGCGGCTTCACGGCCAG